CGCAACTCCCGTTCCTCCGCCGCAACCGCCGAAGATCGGTCTTACTTCTCTCTATGCTTCTGGTGCTGACCATTACTTTCCCGATACGACGTTTCGGTTCTTGTCTCGTGACGGATCCGACGCTTTAAGCAACTATTCATCAACCCTTGCTTCCTCTTCAGCTATGTACCACCATCTTCCTAACACGACCGCCTCTCATTTGGCGTATCCGCAGCTTCTTCAGCATCAGGAAGCTTGGCCTCCTGGAGTTGAGGTTCCCGTTGCTGCTTCCGCCGGAGAGCCGCTTCCTCCCGGCGTCAAACGCACCTCCGAAAGTATGCAAATTCTTAACCTTTAATCAATCATTCTGAGATCTGCATCATTTTTTGTGTGTTTATCTGCTTGGCCAAATCATTTGAAGCCTTAAAGGCTAAAAGCTTTCCCTTTTCTCTGCTCATCGTGATTCTCATAGTCGGTTTCAGTTACCGTTTCATCAATTGCAGAGTAATAAATACGGCTTTAATCATGGTCTCTGGTTTTAATTTTGGTTCACATTCGCATTACAGAACGAAGTTGGTTTGTGTTCCTTTGTGCTTTCTTTAAGCTGAAATAGAGGTTGCATTAGTTGACCAACTGCTTTGATTTGTTTTGGATCACCATTAATCTTAAGAGGTTAGAATCATCTCTAAGGAGATGCTTAGCTAGTTAGCTATGAAGATCGAACTACATATATAAACTATATAGTAGTGTTCTTGATTAGTCTTTGTTGCTTTAGAATTGCTTAAAGACGGACACTTTTCTCTCTAAAGTTGCCCCAAAGTTTTCACTGGAACATTTGGTGATTGACTTCGTTGATGATTATGCTTTGTTGTAACTCTGTGGTTTCCAGTAGATTTTCCGAAAGGATAGTATGCGAGACATAATTTCTTACGGTTAAGGTTAACTAAAGATACGATTGATGCTATTGCTATATTTTGGTTTCTGCTTATTACCCCAAATTTATTTTCAAGATATAACTATACAGCTTATATATCTTCTCATTTTTGTTGTATATTATTGTTTATTATGTAATTTAGCGCTCTACTATCCGACTCTATTGGGTGCCCATAATACAATTGGTCAAACCGAAGCTTGGTATACTACAGACTATTTTACTAAGCGTCCTAAGTTGGAGAGTACAAGCCATTTGCCTATATATCCACAGAGAGCAGGGGAAAAAGATTGTACCCACTATATGCAAACACGAACATGTAAATTTGGAGATAGCTGCAAGTTTGATCATCCTGTTTGGGTTCCTGAGGGCGGAATCCCAGATTGGAAAGAGGTGATCGTTTACTACTATCTATCTAAGTATTTGTTATATGTTCTATTATGAAATTTACATTATACTGATAGCGGTTTTCTAGGTTTCTGTTATGGTACTTATATGTTTTATACCACTAGATGTCTAGAATTTGTGCCTAATTACTTTTCAACTACATACTATATGTATTGTTTTTGCTTGGTATCTGAAGTCAAAAACTTACTACATTATTATGAAAGTTTAGACACGATATATGGTATCTTGGTAGTGATTCAAGATTTGAGGTTCCCGTCTTCTGCCACTGTGTGTGTTATTCTTGCATTTCCCTTGGTCAGATCGTTCATTGACTTGGAAGTGACATTATACTAGTTGTTTAGGCATTCCAGGATAAGATGATAAGAACGTTTTTGTTGATGAATATCTTTTCATTCAGGCACCTATTGTTCCGAGCGAAGAGTATCCTGAGAGACCAGGAGAGCCAGATTGTCCTGTAAGCTGTTCATTAAAACTTTTCTAGCTATCTTAATTCTGTTTACCCTGAGATCTGACTATCTTTTTTCACTTCTGAGCAGTACTATATAAAAACACAACGTTGCAAATATGGTTTGAGGTGCAAGTTTAATCATCCGAGAGCAGTGGCTGCAGTAAGTGATTGTTCCATTTCCGAATTATATTATCCCTTAGTTTTATGTGCCTGCAGACACTCTGCATAACATCTTGTGCTTGTAATATGTGCTCGGCTTCAGTTTGGTCTTGGGCTGTGTGTATGTTCATAAAAAGCTTGATGCGTTCTATATTTCAGGCTAGTGTTGAAAGTCAAGATGCGTTGCCTGAGAGACCTTCTGAGCCCCCGTGCACTGTAAGATATACTCATGTAGACACATAAATACCTATCCGTTTTCTGTAATTTATATTACAGATGAATCTAATTTTGATTATTAATTTTGCAATGTTTCAACTCTAAAACAGTTCTACATGAAGACTGGAAAATGTAAATTTGGTTTAACATGCAAGTTCCACCACCCAAAGGATATTCAGCTACCATCAACTAGTCAAGATAACGGTAGCAGTGAGGCGTTAACCAGTGATCCTGATGTAACAAACAATCCACATGTGACATTGACCCCAGCATTGTATCACAACTCGAAAGGACTACCTGTTAGACCGGTAATGGGTTCATCTTCAGGTTCCATAAGAATGACATATTATCTTAGAGACACAATTTGTGAACTATCTAGTATCTAGTTATTATACATAGAACTGATAAAAAAAATTGTTTGCTAGCATTGTATGCTGACCTGTTCTGACATCTGAGAATAAAGTTTAACTAATTAGACTGTAGCTTTTACAGGGTGAAGTTGACTGCCCATTCTATCTCAAAACCGGAAGGTGAATATCAAATATGAATTCGTTGGTTACAACCTTGAAAAAAAAGTGTTATTAACGTTCTAACTTGCTTTCCCTTTCCACGATCAGCTGCAAGTATGGCGCCACTTGTCGCTACAATCACCCTGAGAGGACTGGTTCGTGAGCACGTTTAATGTCCATATTTTTGTTCTTAAAATCTTTAAATTACCACTTTAGCTTCTTAGAATATTTACGACATCATCTGTTCCTCTTGCTGTTTTGATTGGGTACAGCATTCATCCCGCAAGCTGCTGGGATAAACTATCCTCTAGTATCCCCAACTGCTGCGAGTTTAAACCTCGGGGTGGTTAACTCAGCTGCCTCCCTCTATCAGACTCTTGCTCAACCCACGGTAAATGCCCTCTCTTTCATGTTGTGGGAAATGTTCAAAAGCTTCTCCATAGTCGCTAGAGGGTTTAATTAAATTGGAACTTGTTGCAGCTCGGAGCGCTTTCAGCGATCTATCCTCAAAG